CTCCAACATCACTCTCACCAACACTTCAAATGATCCAATTCAGTTTCTTAGTGCTGCTATACATGAAATACCACAAAGGGTGGCTTTAACAAACAGAATCTTATTTTCTCACAGTATGGGAAGTTAGAAGTCTGAATTCAGAGCACCAGTTCTAGGGGTAGTATTTTTCTCTGTGTCAGATCTGGAAGAAGGATCTTGTCTCTTTTCAATCTTGTCTTTTTCCTTGGTTACTTGGAGATCTTCATGTGGCATGTATCTTCCCCTCTATTTATGCTTGCTTCTCTGTACCTACCCTGCTCCTTTTATATCTCAAAGGTTATGAGTTTAAGACATATCCTACACTGACATGTCTTGATTAACATAATAAAGAGAATCCTATTCCCTAATGTTATTACAACCACAGGTATGTTGTTGTTGTTAGGTGCTGTCAGTTGATTCCTACTCGTGGTGACTCCATGTGAAACAGAATAAAATATTGCCCTGTCCTCCACAGGTGTAGGGGTCTAGGATTTACAACATATATATATATATTTTTTAGACACAATTCAATCATTACATCATCTTTATAATTTTTGTCCTTTTGCTGGTCATAAAATGATATCTCATTTTTATTTCATATTAAATTCTCTAATGCCTAGTAATTTGTACATCAATTGATATATTTGTTAGATGTTCAGAATTTGATGATTGATTTATTTACATCTGTTGACTATTTTTCTTTTGTTTTAAGCTTAAGTTGGGGAACTCCTTTTGTAGACTATGAATTTTAACTTCTCAATTTTAGACATTGCAAATCCCTTCTTAAGAAATTGTTTCTTAAGAACATGACAAATTTTGTCATGTTACCTTCACTGAAAGAAATACTTAATTTTGATATAATACAATTCATCAAGTTTTGCCTTACAGTTTCTGCTTTTTGCCCATATTTGAATCATATAGTATTAATAGTGTCCCCAGATTGTGCAACATGAAAACCCTACTGCTCTAAAGTAGAAATTTTTTACTTTATATTCAAGTGCAACCATTAGTTCATTGCTACAGCCATTACTATTTTCCATCTTCAGTGAGTTATATCAACTACTGTACTTATACTTGCTTTTCCTTCATAGTCATTTATCCTTGTTCTATATTACCAGTAGTAGAGCAGGAGAAAGGGGATTAAAAGCCAGGAATCTGGACAGAGGAGCAGTCAGCCGCAGGGGTCCAGGTGAAGAGAGGAACCCAGACACACCAAAAGCAGCAGGACAGTAGAGCGGGAGAAAGGGGATTACAAGCCAGGAATCTGGGCAGAGGAGCAGTCAGCTGCAGGGATCCAGGTGAGGAGAGGGAACTCACACACGCCCAAAAGAAACCTTAGGGCAGGAGAGTGGGAGAAAGGGGATTAAAAGCCAGGAACCTGGACAGAGGAGGAGTCAGCTGCAGGGACCCAGGTAAGGGTGGTATGAGAGGTTTCCAACAGGGAGACAAACTTGTCTATTGGTTTGTCCTACTGTGGTGACGTGTTGATGTGAGTTTTGAGGCTGAGCCATTGGTGTTTCAAACCCAGCGAGATGCACATGGTGCACAGGTATCAGCCCAGCTTACAGACTGAGACAGACTAGGAAGAAGGAAGAGTCCATCCACTTCTCAAAGAATTGGCCAGGGAAAACCTTGTGAATAGCAAAGAAATACTGTTTGATACATTACCATGCAACATTATGAATAGTCTGGTTAAGTTAAAAGGCTCTCAAAATAGGACTGGAAAAGAGCTGCATCATCTAAGTAAACCCAGCTTTACTCCTATGGATAAGGTAAAGCTTTTGAGACCTCCATTTGCTGATGTGGCATCACTCAAATTGAAGAGAAACAGCTGCAAACATCCATTAATCATTAGAATGTGGAACATACGAAGTATGAATCTAGGAAAATTGGAAATTGTCAAAAATGAAATGGAACACAGAAAGATTGATATCCTCAGCATTAGTGAGCTGAAATGGACTGGTTTTGGCCATTTTAAATCAGACAACCATGTGATCTACTATGCTGGGAATGACAGTTTGAAGAGGAATGGCATGGCATTCATCATCACAAAAGATGTTTCAAGATCTGTCCTGAAGTACAATGCTGTCAGTGACAGGATAATATCCATACACCTACAAGGAAGACCCATTAATA